GCGGAGGGTTATTAACTATCCTATCTCCACTCCCTGGTGTGAGAACGGGAACTGTTTCCCGATCCAGACGACGGTCTGTTTTCCTCGTTTCAGTTTGCACGAAGGCGTGCGTGTTGGTTTTGGTTGGTGTATCGTCACTCACCGTGCCGTGCTAAGGGTAGAATGTAAATTGCAATGTGCTGGAGTTTGTCTTCTGCAACACCCTTTCAAAGGGGAATGAGGACATGGCTGCCTGGGCCAGCCCTGGGTAGTGTGGCGGAGGAATAAGGGGGGGGGAATAGGCTTTCCTCTCGGAAAGAAAGTACAGGAGGAGGAGAGTAAAGCTCCTTAAAACGTTTGCATTTTCAGTTGTTGAAAATATATTTCAGTTGTTGAGGATAATTGACATTCTTTCTGTAGTCGTGTTGATTCAGTATTTTTCAGCTGCTTGAAGTGTTTTTATTGGAGAGAAGACTGTCTGCATTTAAAAAAAAGATGCAGGAAGTGTTCAAAACAGCTTTTCGTGATCGAATGCAATCTGGATGCCCTTAATATGTGATTAGTAACTGAAAGACCCTAGCAGCTGATGGTCAATATCTTATAGCAAATGTTATGGAAGGAGTATTAATATGTACTTTTTTCAAAAAGCTCAATACAGAAGATGGTATAGAATAATACCCTAACATCTTCTAGAGTTGACCAAGCCTCTAATTAAAATCTTCTTATGCTGTGACAAATGTGGTTTCCAGGCTCTATAAAACTTGTTAAAGGCACTTCCCGAATAAAGGCACTAATAATGGAACACTGCAGAATACCTGACTGATGTAGTCTACCATCTTTGTTGTTAAATATTGTAAGCTCCTTCATCTGTCGTGTAAGGCCTTAAGGATGCGGACAGATACATCTATACATCAGCTGTGTGGGAAATACTAGGAACAATGTAAAATCAAGTATTTAGTACAAGTAACATTGCTGTTTTCCATAAATAAGCTTCATCATGATTCTCTTCCTTGTTGATTAGATAGTTGGCATTTTGAAAGGTTAACTGGTGAGATAAGTATCATAACCAAGTATGTTTTTGAATAAGTTTATTTGTGATGAAAATTAAAAGTATTCTCATTTCAGCCCAAAAAGTGTTTCTTTAAAAGAATATACAAAAACCGTTTCTCCTTGTCTGTATATGCAAGGTCTGGACTTACTAAGGATGAAAGATCCATTGTGTTGATCAGATATTGTAATTGCAGCAGCAGCCACAGTTTTTAAAAGTGTGGTTATGCATTTCTGAAGTTCTTACAAAAAGAAGGATTTCTATTTGTAATGCTTCTAGTAAATACTTCTGAAGGAATGTGCTGATACAGCTTTTTAAAATATATGTAGGAAATAAAAGTTATAGTGGACTTCATACTACAGAAATGGGTGTACTCAGTTGTTTAGCCTTGGAGTGTACTGTAGCATTTTAATTTGAACTCATATTGGGAATGATTTTTACAACTTGATTCAATATTCCATTTTCAGTAACCAATTGTTTTAATACCCAAGACTTGGCTTATGATGTTTATATAGAAATATTCTGCTGTGTTCATTAGGGCTTAAACTGTATATAAGTATTCATAGAATTACATTTAAAAATTGAAGTAAAATAGATTTATTTATGAATAAGTTTAGTTATGGAAAATATCTAAATAAAATTATGGGAGATATTTGTTATTGGTATATATTCTGCTTTGCTTTGTACCAGATTATCAGACAGATGAGGTACTTTGAGCCAGCAATATTTTCTTTTCTTTTGTAAATGCATGGTCTTGACTGACTCAGGAGGACACAAACTTTGTCTACTCCATGGGGGAGGAGTTAATGACAAAATACAACATCCATGCTGCAGAAGTCTTTAGTTACTGACATCTGCAATATAAGGAAGAGAAAGAATAGTTTGTATGTTCCCTGTGCTGAAGCAATATTTGGGGGGGGAGGGTAATTTCACATGTTCTTTTCCAGACCACATTCTGCTGCATGTTTAAGACTTTAAGTAATAATTTGGATATATATACACAGGTGGAAAAATGAACATGCTGGTTGGGAACTCATATCATAGAACTCTACTGCTCTGACTCATCAGATACTCCTTTCTGTCCTGTACTGTGGAAGTAGTTATTTCCCAAACTCTTTGTGTTATGCTCTCTGCTGCCTTTTCTTTCATTGCAACTTGTTATAATAGCTGATGATTAATATATTGTTTAAAGATTGCGATACAGAATATCCTTATAAGACTGCTAAAAAAAATACAATAGGCAGGAATTGGTTTCTTTTAAGGCATTATTTTAGTAGAGTAAACTTGATCTGCAAAGTGATGTGGACAATAATGCTTAAATAGATGAAAGAAGCAATGAAAATGTTAATTGAGTGAATAAACTCTGCAGACTCACCTGTGTGAGAATGAAATTAATTATAGAACAATACCATAAACTCTGACTGATGAGTACACTGGCTGTTTCCTCAAGTGAAAGAGGCAATATTGTTTCAGCCTTTCATGTTCAAGGCTATCAGTCTGGAAATTCAGTTTTTGTTCTCTGTTAACCCTTTTGTTATCTTACTGTTAGAACCTGCAAAGGTGACTCTTCTGTGCTATAGTTTCTTATCAGCAACTTGAGGATAAATACAAATTTCCTTTTCTAGTTGAGCACAATCAGATCTATGCAGCAAA